GGGGGGCTCAGGGGGTCCCCTCCATGGTCCCCTCCCCCGACCAGCCCCCTGAGCCCTTTACTTACTGGCAGTGGAGCCCAGGTCCAGCTCCCTGCTGCTGGTATACTGCCTGCCCTGCTTTAGCACCAGGGTGAGGGCTAACCATAGAGACGCTCTGGCAGCCAGAACCCAAGGAGTTTGTGTGCTTAATTGACAGTGTCTATGACAGTGTAAGCCTGAGGCAATGATTTGGAACTGGCATTATGTTATGCAATTAGGTGAGTTATATGCTTATTTGGTATGCAAACAATTTGCAGTATGCAGTCCTTACTGTTCAGATCCTGTGTGGAAAACCAGACTGAACCAACTGCAGCATCCAGTACCATGCTAATTCATGGTAAAAGATAATAATCCTCTATGGACTTCATTTAGGTTTCCTAGGGTTCACCCAAAATCTGATACTGATATCCTTTTATTTAACCAGAACTGTTGAGGCCCTAGGACTGTTTGAAGGCTCAGTTACATTTTCCTGATGCATTTCCTCACTGATTTAAAATTCTTCTCCCTTTCTGCTGCTGATGAACAGTGAGGTGGCTATTTGAATGAGGTAGTGTCCACCCTGTATCATGTTGTGGTGGATGGTTGCAGTAAGAAACTCTGTTCAATTAGGGGAACAGTTCCTAGTTCATAATTGGAAAGTATCTTTAGACTAGTGGTTCCAAAACTCTGAGAGATTGCACACCACCAATTTAAAATGATACAACCTTAGGTACCACCAGCAATTTTTTTGTCATATGAAGTAATTATAATAAATCAGTTAACATGTAACACTGACAGGTTGTCTGCGTACCACTGGTGGTATGCATACCACAAATTGGGAACCACTGCTTTAGACTATTCTGTTCCTCCCTTCACTGCTCAGTGCTGTGCTGTGCTGTGCTGAAATGAGCCTGATAGAAACTCTGGGAGCTGACCCTGAGCCCTGCTCCCCTTGTGCTGTTTCTTTTTGCCAGCATTTATTGGTTTTTATTTTGCAATTCTGGTTCTCCTTTTTTTAGTCTGCTGCTTTTCAGAAATATTCAGCACACATGGATCAGTTCCTGTTTTAGATCCACAAGAGCATTGGCACCAACAACTTCCCTGAGACAGAGGGTCTCAAAACAAGTTTCAGCCAGTCCCTATCTTTCCTTTGCTGGAAAGCTATCAGACCACATAGTTGTTACAATGGCTTCTGCCCATTGCAACCAGTGGCTTACAGTCCAGTTGTTTCGCCTGAGTTACATCTCTGAAGAGAATTTCCACAGACTGAATATGTGATTTTTTTTTTTTCCTGACACACAACACACAGTTATTGGCCACCATAATTGGCTTGGATTTCATTAGCACATCCACTGCCTCAGCTACTCAGGCTGTTTGCTCAGCTCCCACCAGTCCAGGTGTCATCATACTCAAATCACCAGGTTTGGGAACCGTGCACTTCCCCAATCACTGTCTCTGTTTTCTGCCAGTTAAGTGGTTCAGATTTAGCTCCCTTCCTCCCCTTCCTTACTCATCTAATCTCATTAACTTGAATTGTTGAGCCAGTGTTCACTCTTTCTACATATTTCCACTGACAATAGCCAGACCCTCATTACTTCTGTTTACCTGGCCATGTCTAACCCTGAAACTACAGGGCTGATATTTGTTCCTCAAAGCTTTCTCCTTTTATTTGTCCCTGTTTCTTGAACTGGGAGACTGGTTTCCATTACATGTGTGTGCTGCTCTGCACTGTCCAGCCTTATCTTCATAAGAGACCTTTTGATGGCCATTTCCTCCCCAATGCCAGGATTAATCTGAATAGCCTCCCTTAGTTTTTACATTACTGCCAATTTCCCATGTTTTACAGGCTAAACTGCCACGTTCTCATTATTCCAAAATAGTGTGAATGAGTTTAGAATCCCCTTTGCCATTGTACTTGTTAGACACAGGCACTCATAGACTCGTGTGTTACAGGACATGTGGGAATTGACTTTCTTCTACTTCAGTAGAGGCCACTTTCTTCTTTGAGGCTCATTATTAGTTCTGACTGGTTTCAGCAGG